AGTAACTTAAAGTGTTGACTGAGCATCATTACATAGAAATGCACACAAGAAAGTTCACTATTCGTTCCTCTGTGTGCACCACAGTGTTCTTATTACCATACTCCTTTATATTTATTTATAGAAGAAGTTCTTCCCTGTGAGGGTGGTAAGGCCCTGGCACGGCTTGCCCAGAGAAGCTGTGGCTGCCCCACCCCTGGAAGTGTTCAAGGCCAGGTTAGACGGGGTTTGGAGCAACCTGGGATAGTGAAAGGTAACCCTGCCCACGGTAGGGGGGTGAAACTCGATGATCTTTAAGGTCCCTTCCAACCCACACTGTTCTATATTCTCTTCACAGGATCAAAGTTTCAGGTAAGAAAGAAATTTAACAGTGAAGAATGGATGGGAGTAGGATGAGTTTTAAATTTATAATAATAGTTGATATACACAAAGCCTTAAAGAAACACAAAAGTATAAACTCACGTTAAGAATTTCATCTTTACAAAACACTAAGGCTTCAGGCTGTTTGCTTGAAGGGAAAGCTTTTTCAAAAGCTACTTTTGCAGCAGAAGCAGCAGGAGAGTAAGTGTCACACTGAGCAATCAGCCAGTATCCCATGATACTTTTTAAGTAAGGAGCTAAGTGCTTTTTTACTTTAAGAATCAGTTGCTCAAAAGATTGCTGAGTTGCTTCTCGAACACGGCGATCATGATCCTGTCAGAATAAAAAAGAAAGGAAAGATAAATCTTTGTTGGTTTAAGAAATGCATCTTTGATGCCAGATACTTCAAAGCAGAGGTGATGATTAAAAAGCCATTTTTGTGATTAATTGGGCTACCTAGATTTGAAAATACACACCAATGACAATAAAGTCTTGGTATCCCTAGGTATGGGGAGAGCCACAACTCAGTAGCATCATATTCCCAAAAATGTTGCACACTCACAGTTGTAACCTTTTCCCAATATCCCTAACTACAGTCTCTGTTTCCAATTTATACAAACATTTAACAGAAAGACAAGACGCAAGAGAAATAGGAAACCTCAAAGACATCTTTTGAATTAGAACTACCATAAGTCTACAGAAACACTGCATCATTATTGGCTATTTGCATATGAATTTACAACATCATGACTTTCTAGGCTCTTGGCTCCTGAAAGAAACACTAGGAATTGCTCTAATGGATAAGAATAGTGATCCCTTCTGTCCCATATCATGTTTTCAAGAGTAGCCAGTCCAGAGAGTTTAAAATGTATTAAATATATAAAAAAATTATTTATTATCTGGCTACACATGGTCTTCCACATTTGGGTTTGGTTTTGGGGGCTTTTTAATATTAAGTCTGGTCAGATATTAGTCCCAGATCAAAAAGATTTATAATTATATTAACTAAACAGTCTCTTTAGCCATTCTAGAATGTATATAAAAGAACTTTTCCTGAGAAGAAATATCCTACCATCTTTTAAACATAAAGATCTAACAACAGGTATCTCCACCAATGAAATAAAGCCCAGATACCCAAAAGCTCAAGATTCCATGCACTGCCAAAACTGAAATATCTCCACAATAAAGAATAATAATTTCCTTCAACTTCTTGTTTTTCCTAGAACAAGTCAGTAATTCCAACAAAGGTAAATAACGTCAATAAAGACTACCTTGGAAGTTGTTTCAGAGAGAGGAACTATACAGAGAAGTTTCTAATTTAAATACTTCAGTACTTACTAGTGAAATTTTACAATAAATTCTTGGCCAGTAAGGAAGAACACCTTTAACAACTTCCGCTTCTCTTTCCTTGCACATTGTCCCAAACTCTTGCATAGCCTAAAATCGAAATATCAAGAGAATCACTTAAGAAGTCAGACAGATATTTTCTGTAATTTACCAGCTTATATCTGAAACTGCAACTCTCTTTTTAAAAAATCAATTCATTTCTTGCAATTGAGCATCTACAGAGATAACTGCACGATGGACCTTCCTAGAGGTTATCCAAGATAACTTCTGGATTGCAATTCTAGCAAATCTGCCAATATGAAATCAATATTAGTTATGTTCACATATTCCTCTCCCATCCTTAAGAAAAGTGTATTGTTTTCCAATTAAAAAAAGAATTATAGGAGACAAAGGATACACTTACTTTTAATTTTGTTGTGATGTCCCTTTTAGAAAGTTTTCGCAACACCATTCGGAAATCGGCATCCACAAGGCTGTCTATTTCCTCTGCTCCTTGAATTGCAGGAACATATCCTAGATCACTCTGAGATGTTCCAAAGCCAATAAACCCAGGCACTGTTCCACGTTCTTTGGCAAGGAGCTCTGCAGCTCGGCCGCTGCTAGAAGGCTGACAAAAAACAGGGACAGCAGTCAATTATGTATTTAATTTCATTTTGCATGCATCATGCATTTGAAATGATGATCCTATTTATATTGTATGATTAACCTTCTAATTAAAATAAAGTCTCACAAAAGGCCACCTATGCTTTGAATATAGAAGTTTGACCTAGAAAATTATTCTACGCTTTAGAATCAAGCTGAGAAAGTTGGGGCTGTTCATCTGGGAAAAGAGAAGGCTCTGGGGAGACTTCCAGTATCTGAAGGGAGCCTACAAGGAGAGGGACTTTTCATCAGGAACTACAGTGATAGGACAAGGGGGAATGGCTTCAAACCAAGAGTGGGTTTAAATGAGATATGAGGAAGAAATTCTTCCCTGTGAGAGTGGTGAGGCACTGGCACAGGTTGCCCAGAGAAACTGTGGATGCTCCATCCCTGGAAGTGTTCAAGGCCAGGTTGGATGGAGCTCAGAGTAACCTTGTCTAGTGGAAGGTAACCCTGCTCATGGCAAGTTGGAACTAGATGGACGGTTGGAACTAGATGGCCTTAAGGTCCCTTCCAACTCCAGCCATTCTGTGATTCTATTCTCTGATTCTATGAATCAGCATTCCCTTTTCTCATAATCCATGAAAACTTATGGAAAGTTTTATTGGATTTATACACACACAAAAAAGCATAACAGGAAAGTCCTTCTGTAGGCAAACAATTTATTAAGAAACTATTTATCTTCCTTCAATACTTTCATTTTTCCTAGTTCTTCTCATGGGCTAATACGCCTCCCAGGGAATGCTATCTGTATCACTGGGAAAAATAAGAACAGATACACAAAACATTCTCCCAGTAACAAAGTGGCCAAAAAGGATTTAGAGGAATGGAGTAAAGGGTGCATATGTAACAGAGTATAATACCAGTTAGTATTACAGTGTGTGTTTTCGAGTTTAGCATCTCTTCCAGTTTGCCCCAGTTGCTCACTGTATCACTGGCTCATGTTTATTTCAACCATACTCCTTTGGAAAGACTGCCCCACAACCGACTGATGCTTTAATGTTCTCTGTGATACCTCATATTCCAAACACCTTTTACTTCCTAACGGCAGTTGCAGTTTTGTGAGCTTGTGGGGTTTAAGTAATCTTTTCTGAATGTGATCCCTCAACTATTAAGGACATGCTGTGCTGTGTTCCCTAGTCTTCTCTAAATCCACGGAGGAATTACAGAACCTGAACACAAGGTTTCACATATATCCTGAGCGAGTGCCACATAGGACAGATTTCACACCACCACTGGCCTGGTGGCAAGACAGAGACACCAAAACAGGTGAATCCTAAGACTCTCCACAGAAAACCACGCTGAACTTTGCTGAACTCAAGAGCCGTGGTGATTTTGTAGTTACGTGCCCCGACCGCCGCCCCTCTCCATACAAACACCACGGCAACAGCAGTCACACACCCCTCAGCACGCCCCAGGCCCAGAGGTGGCCCTGGCCCCGGCTACCGCCACCGGAACCGACGACCGCGCCGCCTCCCCGCCGGAGCTGGGCCTCGGCGGCCCACGGCAGCCGGAGGGGCCGGCCCCGCGAGCCCCCGAGGCCCGGGCCGCACCGCCCTTCCCGGCCCCGCTGAGCGAGGACCCCGGGGGCGGCGGTTCCCCGTCCCACGGGCCGCGCTCACCCGCAGGTTGCCCTTGGTTCGCTGCTTGTTCTTGCCCCCCATGGCGGCGGCGGCGGCGGCACCGGGACGGGCCGGCACCGACAGGGACCGAGCGGCACTTCCGGGGCGGGGCCGGGCGGCGGGGCCCGGGGCTGACGGGGACACCCTGGCACTCAAAAAATCCATTGGACAAAAAAAAAATCCATCGATCTTAAAGCGCGGAGACTTCGAGCGTCCCGTGGCGCCTTTACGGAGCTGCGGCCTTCTCGTACACTTAAAGGGACTCTGGATTTGGGAGTTTCATCCAGAGGCAAAACCGCACTTGCCGAATGACGTCACTCCGAAGTATCGCTGCAAATTTTACTGGATCTGTACAGAAATATTTAATCAATATTTATTAAAAATATTTAATCCAAAGCGACCAATTTTTTCAGACATGGGATTTCGATACAGTATCCATAAAATTAGGATTAATTGGTACAACTCCGTTGACACTGGACTCAAAAACATGCAGCATAATGCACTTTATATTATAGGAATGAAATCCTGTGAACTCAGAAGGCTGAGGATCATTTCACAGTTTTGGAGCACGCTGTAAGGGAGCCCATCCTTGATTAACTGTTGCTTCTACACAAATAAAAATAAACTCTTCAGCTACAGATGTAGTGAAGCCACCACGGTATCTCTCTTACCTGCATACACACTTGTACCTACAAAAAACTCTTACGCCTTAGAGTAGGCATCCTAGCTCAGCTTCTTAGCATATGCAAGACTCTTGTAAATTTGCTCCCTCCTTTTGTTTGTTTTTAAATAAAATATTGATCTCATGGCTTCATAAATTTTCATGTAGGAAGTAGAAGATCGTTACAAAAAAGTCTTTGTGTAGTGTATGTAAACAGTAGCAATTAATGTAAACATAACATTCCCCCTCCTGAGACACCCACACTGCATTTTTGTAACTTCTTATTCATATCTTCGTTCCCTATAGTCCATCTATTCATTCATCCGTAACTCCATAACTGCCCAGTTGGCTATCAAACACATTTTTTTAAATTGTAATTAGGTATGTACCCTAAATCTCCTTAAAATCAGAAAGTAAATAAAGTAATAAAGTATTCATGTAGTCATTTTCATTATTCGGGATTTCACTGGATATTTGTTTTCATTGAAAACTGTATTCATCACATAAACCATGAATTATTAATTCCCTCTCTGATCAGCTGTTGCAGAACAGCTAAGGAATCTGTTATGAGGATTAAATTCCAATCCTAAGTGCTGGGGCCCGTGCTGATCTTCAAACCCTTCAATGCCCTTCAACCCCAAAGTACATTTGAAAAATGTCAGCACATCCTTTTTCTTCTAAAAAATGATACAGTTGCCCCAAATCCATATGATTTCCCCTGGCACCATGTGCATCAAAACATTTTTCTTCCAAAGTGGAAAACTTTCGTTGGTTCTGAATCTCAGCATGTCCTCCACCTTCCAAAGAAACATCTTCTCTGTGCCGAATGAGAATTCTTTTCCACGTTAGTCTTCTTACTCTGAAAGCAATTGGAGAAATACTAATCTATCTATAAAATAAAGACTGTTTTAGGAAATACTATGGAATTACTATTATCACAAGAGTCAAAAAATTCTGTTTGTATATATATATATATATATATATACACACAGAGATAATGGTCATGGTTGCTTTTATTGCTGCAACCAACAGTACAGTGGATATTCAGAGTTGTAAATACATTATTATAAATACAGTACTTGGCAGATTTTTAATCTTTGAAGGTGATTGGATTTCCCACCTTCTGGCCACAGGTACAACATGAAAAAATGTAATATTCTAACTACTAATGGCATTTAAGTACAAAGAAAAACTAACCTTGACCAGAACTCTTCACAATTACTTTGTAAACCTTCTACACAAACAACACCTGGTTTCCCTGGCATGCAAAACCCTGAAAGAGAGAGCTCCTTAGCCCAGTCAATAATATTCTTTCTTTTTTGCTTGTTGTAAATGTGATGACTATAGATCCACAATCGAGTGAATGTAGTGACTTCTGCCTGCATGGCACTTGCAGTTGTCATTGAGGAAGATGAAAGCTCTTTGTCAATGTAAGCAGCTGCGTAGTCTTTAACCCATTGCCTTGCACTCAACATGCAGGGCTCACCACTGCAGTTTTGCATCAAATATGTTTTTAGATCAGAGTTCAGGTGAATCTGCTGAGAGCGGCTTAATAACGACGACCTAAAGGAAAGTACAAATGCAGTTATCATGTGCTTACAATTTAGCATGTTTTTAGAATCACAGAATCATAGAATCGTTAAGGTTGGAAAAGACTTCCAAGATCATCGAGCCCAACCTTTGACCAATCACCACCTTGTCAATTAGACCAGAGCACTGAGTGCCACATCCAGTCATTTCCTGGAACACCTCCAGGAACTCCACCACCTCTCTGGGAAGCCTGTTCCAATGTTTGACAACCCTTTCCATGAAGAAATTCTTCCTTGTGTCCAACCTGAACCTTCCCTGGCACAGCTTAAAGCCATTTCCTCTCATCCTGTCACTGGTTGCCTGGGAGTACAGGCCAACCCCCACCTTGCTGCAATGTCCTTTCAGATAGCTGTAGGGAGAGAAGGTCTCCCCTGAGCCTCCTTTAGTCCAGACTAAACAACCCCAGCTCCCTCAGCCATTCTTTATACAACTCACTCTCTAGACCCTTCCCAAGCTTCATAACTTTTCAAAAGTTTTACTTCAAGCTGCCAAGAAAATCAGGCATATTTACATGATATGCACTTGCTATTGATATTTAAATCACATTAGCTGTGAAAACATCTCAATTAGTATTTAATTGGTGCGCTAACTCTTAAATTCACATACAGTACTACCAATCTGTAAATCAAAATCAAGAAAAAGGCACTTCAAAAGTAAGTATGGTGGCTGGACTGATTTCCCATAACACGCAAGGCTACTTCTTTAAACAGAAGTAAAAAAATACCAGAAGGCTGGGAGCAACAGCATTGTGACAAGGGAAAAATAAGACCACTGGTTACTCATTCCTTTAGTTAGTGTTAAGCTTTATCAAAACAGGTAACAGTCTCTCTTCTTGAGCATCAGACCTATGAACAGTATCTACAGTAACCTTTCTGTACAGATGATGGCACTTTTTCCTACACACTTTTTCCCTTTTCTTCGCTTATTTTCTGAGCACACCAGAGAAATCATAACCTTGTAAGATTTGATTTTCTTCAACACTTGTCTACCCAGCCTAATCTGGCAGTAAACCATCAAAAAGTCTGCTTTCTCTTATTATAACTATATTTTTGTAACACATGATAACCTTTAAATGCTTTTATTAGCTGCCATACCTCACAGTGATTTCCGGTAGAACAGTCGGATATTTAAATGGCAAAGCACAGGCCATAGAGAATTCCACCTAAAAACAAAGGAGCAAATGCTTAGTTCGAGTAAGCTCTAAAATCCCACAAAAAAATAAAATAAAATAAAGCAAAAAAAAAATCATGTTCACAGTACCACAGAAGCATTAGGGACCTCAGCCTTTACATTCAGTACAAACTGAACTTTTGAAGATGGCACCTCTGCAGACTCATTTTCAGCATAGTGTTTCAGTTCAGCTAGAGCCAGCTGGTCTGTCACAGCAAATTCCTCCTCATAAGGAAACATGCTAGACAGTAAATCTAACTCTGAAATCTGTATCTCCGCTTCTTCTTGGTTAGTCATTTCTGTTGTTCCCTGAGCAAAGAAAAATTTAGGGAAGAAAAATACAGCTTGAATATGGGACAGATTTCATTAACTATCCCTATGTAAATCATATTATAGAATGACAGAATATTCTAAGTTGGAAGGGACCCATCAACGGTATTGAGTCCGACTCAGCCCTGCACAGGACACTCACAAGAGTCACACCATGTGCCTCAAAGCACTGTCCAAACACTTCTTGAACTTTGTCAGGCTTGGTGCCACAATCACCGCCCTGGGAAGAGTGTTCCAGTGCCCAACCACCTTCTGGGTGAAACACCTTTTCCTAATATACAACCTAAACCTCCCCTGACACAGCTTCATGCCGTTCCCTCAGGTCCTGTCACCGTCTCTGCCCCGTCCCTGCCCCGTCCCTGGCCCTGGCCCTTTCCCTGTCCCTGTCCCTGTCCCGGCCCCGCTGCCCTCGCCCGGCGCTCACCAACATCACAACGGAGCTCGGAGCGGTGGCGCTCGCGCATGCGCGGACCCGTCCCGCTCCCAGCCTCGTCACGGCCCCACAATGCAGCGCGCCGGAAGTGCCCATGGCAGCCGGTGACCGCTGCCCCGCCGCTGGGGGATGAGGTGAGGTTGCCGTCTGCCCCGAGACGGAGCCATGCACCACCGAGTCGTTCGCCCCGCGGCACCGGCAGGTGAGGGACGGGAGCCCCGCGCTGCTGCCGCTGCGCTCCTACCGCCGCGCTCCTACTGACGCGGCCTCTCCTCCTCCCAGCGCGGAGCTCTCTCCGACGCCGCCGCTCCGGCCGGGACACGCGGCGCTCCCGATTGGCTGCGGTGCCTGTCAGTGATGGCGCGGGAGGCGGGCGCGGGCCAATGGGAAGTGGGCGGGGCGGGGCAGCGGCGCGCGGCGTGGGGGCGGCGTGCACGTGGGTTGGGGGCGCGGGGCGGCCCCGGGGCTGCCCCAGGGCTGCGGGACGGGTCGGGCGGAGCGCCCATCTGGGCGCCCTCTTGAGAGCCCACCTGAGTGCCGAGTGCTCACCTGAGCGCCCTCCTGAGTGCCAAGTGCCCATCTGAGCGCCCACCTAAATACCGAGTGCTCACCTGAGCGCCCACTTGAGTACCAAGTGCCCGCCTGAGCATTCACCTGAGTGCCGAGTGCCCACCTGAGCACCCACCGAGTGCCCAGGTGAATGCCCAGCCGGGCTGTGCCCATCCACAAGGCACACCTGCTCCCCGTCGTGGCGGGCTGTCCCTGCTCCCCTCAGGACCGGGCTGTCGGCTGGCGACGGGAGCCCGGCAGAGCCATTGGAGCCCAGCCTGCTCCCCGGCACACCCCGGTGGCTCCCAGGTCAGCCTCTGAGGGCGTTTTGCCAGGGTGTCAGGTGCAGGTGCGCGTTTGCAGACTGCTCTGTCTTATCTCAAAAAATACTAAATAAAATGTATTAGTCATTTAGGCGGTGCAGCGCGTTTCCTGGTGAGGGCTGTGCCCTGAAAAGGCTAGTGCAGAACCTGTCAGAGAAGTCTGCCCAGGCACAGCGTGGGTTAAATTAATAGCTACACGTGTTCATGCTGTCCTGCCTTCCTGGCAGGAGCAAGGACAATTTGGAAAGGATTTTAACAGTTAAAAGTTGTTCGTATAAGGTACGTATTGTAGTTTTTGCAGAGAAATGTGCTCTAGGGAAGGATTGTTGGATGAACTGTCATTTCTTTTTGTGAACTAATTGAATGCTAAGTTGCAAAAGTTGATAATTCTGCCCTTAATGAATGTTTGTCAAGCTTCCATCAGCAACTGGGTCATCTGCCCTAAGAGCATGCTCACGTACACATGCTCATGCAAACATGTTTGTAAAAGGCTTTCCATAAAAAAAGTCATCTCTGAGTATCATGCCTAAGCTCTTCCCTGCTTAGTTTCTCTCTGATTCTCTTGGTGTGGCTTAATTTTTTGGCTGCGACCACTGCGAGCAGGCAGCTGTGCTCTGTGGCTCGTGTGCTGCCGAGTATGAGCTAAGAAATGGGTTTGAAAGGATGGGCTGATACAGGTCAGATTTAGTGCTGACTGTGTTTAAGTGAAGGGTGGACTGCAGGGTTAGGTTAGCCTGCAAAGACTGCAGAGACTTGGTTTGGAACCCTTTTAGCTTCCTTGTTTTCATTGTATAGAATATATCAAGTTTTAAGTTTACCTGAGCTTTTTGGATGATCTTTAGTACAGGGGCTACAGACTAGAAACTAAAAATGTCCTACCATGTGTGCAGTAGCCACCTTTTTGAAGCCAAGCATTTGGTTTAGGTTTCTGTAGTGGTAGATCACTCTTGTCGAGAAGAGTCTACAGGCATAGCAGATAACAGACCCCTCTGAATTATTTGCTTGATGTGTGGGGAAGGTGATGATAAATCTTTCCCAGTGAAGAAATTAAAAAATTTGGAACTCCCATTGTCTGTGTATTTTCAATTATATTAGAGTATTTGCATGTGTCAGACTTCATAAAAGACACAAGGAATTTGCAATAAACAAAACAGAAAGATTGTAATTGCAAATAACTTCAATTGGGACAAAACCAGTTCTTTTTCACAGAATCCCTGTGTTGTTATTAGTTAGAGTACAAATCCTAACAAGTCATAGTATTTTTGATATTGAAGTTTCCAATCTTCTTGTTTTGTGCAATGCTTTTGACTAAAGATTTTAAATCATTTGGGTTTTGTAATTCACACTGTGATCTTGTCTGTACAACAGTTACAATTGTCTCATGTTAAAATATAATTACTATTTTTTTCTTTTGAAATTGTCAAATCAAGGCAAGTTAGTTCACCTCAAGGGACAGCTTAGCCATAGAAATAACTTGTGTAGCAATGAACAAGTAAAGCCAAAATTACTTTCTAACTTTACTATTTTTTCTTTCCTAGGTCATTCTTCCTTTTAAGAACAATTACAGACTACAAATATGGGAAAGAAACGCATCAAAGGCAAAACTGCACAGTTTGATGAGTCTCCGGATACACTGAGTATGTTTCCCCAGAGAAATCTGTGAACCTAATGTTTTTTTACCCTCAAAGAAGGCTTGAAAGCTGACTAATATTTAGAAGGCCTTTACACTAGTCACTGTCCTTGAAGTCTCATTTACAAAATGTGGATTTTTTAAATTGAAACTGAAGTCTAACAAGAAACGTGTTGCTACTTTTCTAAGTATGCTAGAAAATAATAATCCCATCTTGAAAACTAATATTATTTTCTGGCTTTTAGGAAACTCAGACACACAGTTCTTTACTGATACACAGATTGTATAAAATTTCTCAAAATATAAAGGGTTTGTAGGGTCAGCTGTTAAGCTTAAGGCTTAAGTAGCATTCTCCCAATGAAAATTTTGTCACAGAAGAGTCTTGCTTTAGCAATAAGGGCTGTGATTAAAGTATTTTCTGTGAAATAATTTGTCTTTATTCTAGCCGCTAATTTAGTACTGACCTTGGACACCTCAGCTCTAGTCATAGAGTATTTTGGTTAAAATATCTTCCTTTCCTTCTGTTCCTAACAGTTCCTAATCCCAAATAGTAAATTTTATTCTAGCTCTACTTGATCTCACTCCATCTTGAAATTTAATTTGTTTATCTTGTTTACCCTGGTTATTGTAGGTTTTGGTTTTCCTTGTGCTGTGTAGCATTCTCTTCTACCACCTTGTCTACCAGGTCACAGATTGTGTCTTGCTCATCTGTTTCACTGATCCGACTGGGGAAGTGAACTGAGCCATGCTATTTTATCTGTGAGAGAGTGCACTTACAATTTCAGCCAGGAGGCTTGGTGTGATGGCCTGTTTAAATTCACATCTACTGTACTTTGTGTTCCTCAGTGTCCTGGTCTTCTTTGGGTAGCTTCTGTCTCTGATGAGTGGCTTTGTTAGCTTCTTTTGTCTGGTTTGGTTGTTTGGGGTTCTGGGGGGTGTTGATTTGGGGGTTTGGGGTTTTTTATTTGTTTCCTGGAGTCTAGGTCCATGTCTGCTGTAACGGTTCCTCTTCTTCTCCAGCAAAGAGATTAGTTATGGTGTCATTGCTGATGGCATTTCACCTCTTTGGCTATAAATAGGTTATTTTACCATGACAGAGTTCTGTAACGCCACAAATGAAACTAAGACTTATTATGAATAATTCAACTGTAATAGTAGTTGAAAAAATACAAAAGCTCCGGGTTTTTTTTTTAAATTTTTGAAGTTATAGTTGAAGCTTGCATTTTTTAAAAGGCTTGAAGAATGCATCTAAATATCTGTATTTGTCTTTTGTTGGCTAGCATTTGCACTGTGCTAAAATCCTGTAATCTTGGACAGGAACAGAACTGTAGGTCCAAAATTTGCACCATTTTGCTATCCTGAGGCTGTAATCTTGCATGGGATCCTCAACAAAGATGGATTCAGAGCTGTTACACTATCTAAGCAATAAAAATACCTCAAAGTACAGAACTTAAGACAGCTTAATTATGCAAACAGTGGTATAATTCTTGTCAATAGCTGTTTTGCAGAAATGTAACCAACGACTTGAAAAATTAAACAAGAAGAAATAAGATGGTTAAACTCCTGAAAGTGGCTCTTAGCAACAGATGCCTGTTCTTGGTGTAATCATTCTTAGCAAAGTTTGGTTAAATAGATGGAGTTCACACCAGGCCCAGAAGGTGCAGTTAGGTTGTAGTATCACAGTGCAAAGTGATAACAGCACAGGAACTATGACTGCCATTCTTTTTTTACCATAATCTGCTGCATGATTTCACTGAGGCAGCTCAGCTGGAAGCAGAGACTCCATAATCTCCACTTCTGTAAGATAGGCAGGTATGGCCTCGGTGATGGGAAACTTTGGTAGTGGGCTGTGTCTGCTCCGTGGGAAGTTTGGGAATCATATCACCACAATAATAAAAGCCTGACATACTAGGTAGGTGTGTATCCAAGAGTTCTGTCAACTCCTCTAACTAGATGTAACTCTGAGGGATACTTTTAGCAATACAATAGTTTGAGATGCAGCAACAGTATCCCCGGATTCTGAATGAGGATAATAAAGGGTTTCTTTCTGATACATCTGATAAATTTTGAATGTTTCTTTGACTCTAGAAAGACTATCCTAGCTTCTGGATTGCTGCCTGTGTCTTTAACATTTGCATTTGTTATGATACCTACATCCTTCTTGTGCTTTTTATTTTGTAGAACCTACATGCAAGCATATTCGTAAAGGATTGGAACAAGGTCATCTGAAAAAGGCACTGGTGAACGTGGAATGGCATGTTTGTCAGGACTGCAAGGCAGACAATATAACACAAGAGAAGTCTGGGGAGGAGGAGACTGATGAAGGCCCTTCGATATGGTTATGCCTAAAATGTGGACATAGGGTATCTTTTGTTGTTAATCTGTCTTAATATCTTTCAGGGTCTCATAACATAGTAGAACAAGAGAGATTCTAATTAAACTCTACTATTCTTTCTTTTTTATTTTAAAGGTGTTGCTACCTAAATGATTTTGTATGCTGTAGTGTAGTTAAAAAAATGTCTGCTCTAAATGTCAAATGAAGTACTTGAAAGCTTGGCACAAAGGCATTTAGCAAGCTTAAGGCTAAAACACCATCTTGAGGACTTGTTTTCCTA